CCCACCAAAACCCAAACAACAAAAGAAAGAAAAACAAAGATAAAAGACCAGGGAAAAACCACCATCATCTTGCACCAGCTGTCGTCGCTGGTGGAAATGCCTGCAGGTACTTACCACTGCAAAAACAGGAGACACRCTGGCTAGGGTGGCTTGGGAGGTCTCATTGGTGACATGTCGGTAAAATTTACCTACGGGAAGACAAGACAGCTCTACTTCCAGCACACCACACTCGGCCTTGAGCTGCGCCGTGCCCCGCTCCCAGGCACCGGCACACGCGTCAGGCAGCGCCGGTCACGACAAGGCCCCGACCAACCCGACACCGCCCGGCCCGGCGCCGCTCCCAGCGCACTGCCCCTGCCGGAGCGGAGCAGTCCCACTCGGCACAGCACGATCGCGCTGCTCACCCGTCCAGCGCAGCCCGCGGGCCCCCGGCGGCACCGCTGCCACGGCGGCGGGCAGGTCCCAAGCGCGGCTCGGCGGCAGCCCCGGAGCGACCCGCGGGTGGGACCCGCCGCCTGCCGCGCCCGCCCAGCCGCGGGCAGCGCAGCAGCAACAGCCGCCGCTCAGAGCGCGGGGGAGCAGCGCGGCCCCACGCAGCATCGACCCCGCTCGGCCCCTCCGCCCGGCACCGCTCCCGGCGCGCAGCCGCGGCGAGGGAGGAGCGCCGGGGTGACGGAGGGCGCCGCCGCAGCCTGGGAGGAATGCGGTCACAGTAGCGTCGCCATGGGGGCAGGAGCGGGGCAGGTTCTCGTTGGCTGCAGGCTGAGCCGGTGGCGGAAAGACGTATCCGGCCGAGCTGCTTCTGTATCTCTAAAGTTTCTGAGGTAATATAGGTTATATCCAGTGGCGCCTGAAAGTTCATRGCCATTGTTTTATACGTGCAAAAAGCCACAGTTATAAACACAATTTATAGTGTTGGCTTTCGCAAATATTAGGATGAGTGATATGTGTACAATGCTGCCTTTTTTTTTGCATAAGTAGCTTAGTTATGCAGACACAGTGGTAAAATCATCACTGATGGGTTTGTTTTTCTTTTGTAACTCAGATCTAGAATACTTGTGGTTAAACTGAAGTGTTATGGCTTGTGTCTGAAACATTTCCATAAAGGAAGTTTTTCATATTATAGCAAAACTATACCAAAGTTGCGAAGAAAGTCACCAAAAAGCCTGAATGAGGCAGTGGTCCTTAAAGATAAGAAGCAGCTCAGAGCTGGGAAAAAGGACGCATACATTCACAAAGAGATCATGATGCTTAGCACCTTTGGGGCAGGAGGCCATCGACCCAGGGCTATCAACTGCCAGGCCAGCACAGACCCTGACAGCGAAAGGTTGGGGGTGGGTAGAAAGAACAGAGGCTTTGGGATGTGTAGTGAAAAATCTCTAGTCAGAGCTCGCCCTCTGCTGCGCAAAGGAGCCTGGCTGGTGGGACCCCCCGACCTTTTGATGGGCTTATCTGAATGGACAGCTCAGGGGCCCCTGCTACGGACACTTCCTCATCAACAACTGTCATCTACTGAAACCACRGAACAGGGGGCTACACCGGAGGAGGTGCCATGCTGAACAGTTCCTGGGAAAGTTTGAAWATGCAGAAATGTCTATGAATAGGCATTAAGCTGATGCAATACGAAATGTATTTAAAGATGTCTCCTGTCAATAGCAGGTATGCCTTTGGCAGATAACCAAGCACCCGGCGCCATATCCTTTTGATTTTATGTACCCTATTGTCATTTATTAAAAYCTTTTAAATTTTAACAGGACGGTGAACCTTGTTTTTCACAGCAACAATCCTTCTCACCACCTTTTCACCCAGCCTATGTTCAACCCCACTGAAATTAACTGAAATTTTGTACATTGCTGTTTGTGAAAATGGGAAAAACTCGAAGAACCCTGTGAAGCTCACCTRAGCTTCTTTAATGAGGTAGGTTCTAATTGAAAATCCAATTAAATGGATAACTCTTCCCAAAGACATAAGTGCTCTTGAAGTTCCAGCTCCAGCAGCACTCCTAACGCAAGCACACCTTACTGTGGCTGGGATTTTCCCTGCCGCATTTGGCGATTTCTTGATTTTTGCTTCTAAAATGGGGGGGAGGTGGTGGTGTCCAAGTGAAGAACAATTTTGTCCCCAGCAAACATCTTGGAATTAAATTTCCTTGCCCTACTTCTGTATCTAAAATAAAGACAGCCTAGTTGGTTGAGATGTAGCAGTTTAATTWGCAGCATTCCAGCTTCCACTATTATGTATTTTTTTTTAAACTGCAGCCTTCATGTGCTAAAGGGTAATACAGGTACCAGGGTTATCATTCCTTTGGCTTGTTCTGCTGAAGTGTGTAATCGGCTTRGAGGCAAAGCCTAGATCCAAACCCTGCAGAGGGACATGTTATCAGCATGTACTTAGAGTACTCATTAATCTTTATCGGGGAAACAAAAAAGGAAGTGATTAATGAAATGAACCATGCAGTGTGGCTGCTCCAAGAGGGAGGCTCACATCTAATCATTGGTGTGAGTTTTGAAAGCAAGGGTGTCACCAAACAGGACAAAAGAAACTTACCCAACACCAATTTGATGTAAATAAGCAGAGACGTCTTTATTTTGGTGCTGGGAACACACAGGATTACTCCTCCAAACATGTTCCACTTAGTAAACAAAATCCATCCATTTTATATACCTTTTCTGCCAAGTCATTGCTATGTAAGTTTACATACTACGCATAATATGTCCGCTATTAATTTTTATTTTACAATAATTGGTTTTGCTATTTATAGAACTTAATATTCCTACCCAAAGATAATCATTGGTCATCTCTACTGAGCTCTATTGATTGGATTCCTTAATATTCAAATCAAGATGGGAAGGGTAGGGTTTTGTTTCTGAGCAGCATAACTGGTGTGCATTACTGTCTCCATAGTGTCATGGACAAAACATAAGAAATCCAGTAACTTCTTGGTGAGCATGTTTGCATGTTTTAAGCACAACACTCCTGACCTTATATTTTACAACATTCTGCTTGTAATCATAACTCTTTTACATTATTAAATCAATTATTTTGTCAGAATATTTACAACAGCACTTTCCTTTCCTTTCCTTTCCTTTCCTTTCCTTTCCTTTCCTTTCCTTTCCTTTCCTTTCCTTTCCTTTCCTTTCCTTTCCTTTCCTTTCCTTTC